CCTCTGAATCGCATTAAGGCAGCGGGTCAACTCTGTGCCAAGCCAGAGATATTAGTCTGTCTGTGTCTGTCTGTCTCTGTCTGTCTCTGTCTGTCTCTGTCTGTCTCTGTCTGTCTCTGTCTGTGTCTGTCTGTCTCTGTCTGTCTCTGTCTGTCTCTGTCTGTCTCTGTCTGTCTCTGTCTGTGTCTGTCTGTCTCTGTCTGTCTCTGTCTGGCTGTGTGCTCTATCTGTCTGTATCTGTCTGTCTCTGTCTGTCTCTGTCTGTCTCTGTCTGTGTCTGTTTGTCTCTGTCTGTCTCTGTCTGGCTGTGTGCTCTATCTGTCTGTCTCTGTCTGTCTCTGTCTGTCTCTGTCTGGCTCTGTCTGGCTGTGTGCTCTATCTGTCTGTCTCTGTCTGTCTCTGTCTGTCTCTGTCTGTCTCTGTCTGTGTCTGTTTGTCTCTGTCTGTCTCTGTCTGGCTGTGTGCTCTATCTGTCTGTCTCTGTCTGTGTCTGTCTGTCTCTGTCTGGCTGTGTGCTCTATCTGTCTGTCTCTGTCTGTCTTTGTCTGTGTCTGTCTGTCTCTGTCTGTCTCTGTCTGTCTCTGTCTGTCTCTGTCTGTCTCTGTCTGTCTCTGTCTGTCTCTGTCTGTGTCTGTCTGTCTCTGTCTGTCTGAAGGAACTTCCCACAATTGGCACTAAAATCACGAAATCCATGCAACTATCACTGCAAGCTTTGCCACACAAACCTTGAAATTTCCTTTTCGCAGATCGGTAGGATTTTTTGTCCCAAGATTGACGAAAAAAAGACTTTAAAAGAAATTGTGTGTGTTATATATATGTGTGTTTGTGTTATATATATGTGTGTGTGTTTGTGTGTTGCTACTCATTGCTGTATCGGTCTTTGGTGGGGTTTCCGGGTCGTCGTGCTACGCGCCGTTCGGCACGACGTCCGACCTTTCGCTCCGCGAGCGTGGGAGCTTCTTCGGGAAACAAAGCGAAAGTCTCCAGAGCAGCAGGGATGAAGTCCTTCAGTTGCTGAAGCACGTGGACAGAGACGTCAGATATCGTGCCGAGCATCACGCGGTACGGCCACACGACGCATCGGAGTGCCGTGCAGCACCACGACAAAGTCCTCGGCAGCGGTGGCTCCCATGACGCAAGCTGCTCGTCATCTCGATAATCGCGATAGATATCGGATCATCTTCGCATATTTTAAATAATCGGTCTTATTATTTTTTCGTCAGGAAGTCACCATTCCTCTGAATTGATATGGTGTGGAAAATAACTGATGCAATTGCTGCCGTTTTTCCACCAATTTTGCACTTTGTACGCCGACCTTTGTATGCGTCACTAATGACAAATGCTTTCGAAAGCGCTGCGCAAAAAAACCGTGAACGCAACACCTCTGACTCTTGACGCGTGGTTTTTTCAAACAAGAAATTATCCCCACATTTGTGGGCGTCAGCAGCCTGCAATTTTCCTCCGATTCTCAGCCATTCTGGAGCTTATATCAGCCTCTTAATTGTATTCTCAATCATTTCCACGAGCACCTACGTCTTACTGCTGGTGTCAGCTTTATGCAGGGTGTGCATTAACGGATAGCCGCCAACCCTGAATCGAGTTAGATTAGGATGGGTTCATGCCAGACAAGGTGTGTTAACTTAATGAAATCAAGCACTCCTTACAATGCGTTCTGCTTTCTCAGCCGTAATTTGTAATATATATTTTTTACTTTTTTTCGACAGTTTATATCCAATTGCGCTTTCGGCATCGGGTGACGAGATGAATTCTCTCTTGGAAACAGTGCATCGGTGCGTGTGAGAGAACAAGATTCAAGTTTGTTTAGTCGAACTCGGAGATGGCTCAGGAGGAGTCTCGTATGCGCGGGTGACCTGGGTCGCCAACACAAAGTAAAGTGCAGCCAATAAGCAAAATATAAATCGGAAAATACTCAACACATTCCTCAATAATAGCACCTCAAAATAAAACAATATACAAGAGGAGAGATGTTGGGTAATGACCCTTCATCAGAGCACATCACGGGCTCTGAAGAAGGCCTTTGCCTGAAACATTGCCTGTTATATATTTGTTTCTTTAGAGACCACGATGTTATTGGCGAATGGTGTTGAGTTGTGTTGTTGTTATTTGTGTTTGTGCACCACTGCCAACGCAGCAGCAGTAGCAGCGACATCACCAAACAATTTGTCAAATATAAATCGGGGGAAAACAACAACAACAACAACCGCATTACCAAAGGACTCCTCGCAAGAAACTGCTCCGAGACCCCTTGAAGTGACACTTTCTAGCCACGCGTGCTGCTACAAGGGTATATGTGTCGCATTGGATACAAACGTATTCTCATTCTCAAAGTGGAAATATTGTACAAGTTAAGCGAGAAACTTAAAAATGTTAATGTGATGTTGCAATCATTGGTGAACAAACGGTGTGTTTGCTGGTGGAGTCAAACAAATTAGTTAATTGCAACTGATAAATATCGGTGGCACAGCTTATGATGAAGGTTTAGATTTATGTCAATATTAGTTGTTGTTGACAGTGGAAGGAATTTGGACGTAGGCGCGGTACAGAGATTAGAACATCCGGGTCCAGAGCCCCCGGTCACACCCCCAGCAAGTCAGGGGGGGGGCAGACTATAGCATGGATACCGGGCAGGAGGACATTGCATATGTGGACGGGGAAAGTCAGCGCCACTTTGTGGTGACAAAACATAGCGACACACAACATGAAACTAATGGCTCACTCACAAAAAACACACTGATGTACAACATGAAATAAATGTCGGGTGGTGGAGGCTCTACGACCCACATTTTACTCACGCGATCCTACCAAAATATTAATTGTGAATCGTAATATTGGTCGAAAGAGCCTCCGCGTGAAAATTAAAATCATTGTCATCATTACCATTCACGATTGGGATAATTGTGTTTTTATATATAATAAATTGTGTTTGATATGGCATATAGATGCATTCTTGATTAAAAAAAGAAACATCCAGAATAAACGTATTCAAAAAGCATGCACAGCAACACTAAAACTCATTGTGTAATTACACCAATTTTATTATAATGTCCGGGGCCACATGGGTATCGTAAAGATGCCAGCTTCTGCTAAAATGTGTTTAAGGTCTTCAAGCAACGTGGCAGTTTTAAAACTGCCATATGCTGGTGCTGTCTGCCAGCGAGACAGTGTCGGTGTTAGACTGACCTTGTACAAAGATTCCCAACAAACCTGACACACTCGAATGCCCGGATGGAAGTGCATTTCAAATGGCGAGCAGCGAGAGGGTCACGTGCGTGGCATCACACCTCACGTGTCCGACATCATTCCGCAGAAGGTGCAACGAGCATTGTTCGAATTCTCACTTGAGGCGTTGACGTGGCCCCATCGTCCTTCCCGATTGGATAAAAATGAGGAGCGCTTTGTGAGGAAATCAACAGTGCATTACATTGTGGAGAGATTCACCCACATTAAAGGAATGTGGATTTTTCACCACTGGCTCAGGGCTGCACATCCTGTTACTCTGTGCGATTTAATATTTAATTATATGCATTTGTCAATCATCAGCCATGGTCAATCCACTGCTGGATGAAAGGTCTCCCCAAACCGCCACGCGTCGCTCCATCTCCTCAGCTAATGTCATCTCCAACGGTAAAGGCGCAACCTCCAAATTGCCTCCTCACGCCACCGCCGGTGGAAGGCCCTCCGCTGACTTGTGGGAGCTCTACGGCCCCCTCCACTCGGTATGTTGGCCTACTCTTCCACACTGGCCAAAAAGTGGGGAGTACCCACATTTTACCCCACCACACGTGACCTGCCGCTTGACAAACTCTGCTGTTGCGTGCCCACCTGTGTACGGCTGGGCAGACACAGGCAGAGGGCGGTTGATTTCAGAACCTTGCCCACACCACGCCGCCGTTTCATGCGTCGTTCCCGGAGATGGAATCGAACCGTCGATCACAACCCCAGAGCACGCGCCCACCGCTGCACCGCAGCGTTGTTGTCTTTTTGATTAAAATCCCGTGCAGACGGTCTATTCTCTCGGGGTTCACGGGAATATACACTGCTGTAATTACCTATTATTGTAATTCTCTAAACATTTCAATTTGCTGACCCTCACGGCCCTTTAATTGTATTTCTGTGCAAGGATCGTTGAGTGTACGATATCTATAATTCATGGTTTTGGGGGAGAATGCCGCCACCTGTTCGTTACGTTTGGTCAACGAACCGATTGATGTACGACACGAGAAGCGTCGTGCCACTGCTGTAGGGACACGTTTCACTCGTGCGGTGCAGGTGTCAACGTGGCCCCTGTTCAATCAATGGGGAACTTAATAAAAGCCACTCTCAGGATGTGTTTAACGGGTGCAATGGTGGTACAGTGGTGTGTGCGTTTTTTGTTTTTCCTGAGCACATCCCCAGACAACCCTGGCGATATAAGTAAGCCCTCGTCGCAACTGCAGTTTAGTACATCGACAAATCACGTGTGGTGGGGTGAAGTGTGGGTACCCCCATCTCTTCCGATATGTCTGGCCAGCGTTGAAGACGAGGCTTTACTACCCACTAAATAACGGGAAAGAGAGAAAGACGTCATAGAGAATGCCTTGATGACGTGAGAGATTGGGTTCCAGAAAGATGTGTGCACTACTTGAGCATATTGGACACCTAAGAGCTACAGTATCTGCCCGTGGATCGTGTTGATATTGATCATGATGACCCACTCAAGGGGCTCTCTCGCGCTGTCTCTATTGGGGGCCCTTTCACCAGCCGTGGCATTGAGCAAGCACTTGCAGGGCTGCACCTTTATATGTATTTTTATCTCTCGCTATGAAAACAAATCCAGTGCAACTTAGTCCATGACTATTGACCCTCCTGTTGTTTCTTTTGGATCTTGCATTAATCTTGCTCAGAGGCTTGATTATTCCTATATCTCAACCCTAATCATTAAAAAATTGCACACTTTGCCGCGCAAGGTATTGCAGTGGCAATGTTCCCAAAGGGCCGAAGAACGAATGTAAATGCAGCGAAAGAATGAATAAAAGCGATGACAGTGCAATATTGAGCCCCGTGGGTCTCGCAAGAGAGGCACCCAAGCCATTACTCATACGTGGAAAATTACGTGATAAAACTTTACTGGTCTGCATTTTCATCTTCTTCATAGACAAGTATTCACAATAAAGCAGCAGTGGTCATTTGGAACTTTGATACATTAATACCATTGCAGTGGTCATCAATCCATCTCAAGCGTTACTAGTTAATAATAATACAAACTTAAAATGAACACATTCGTCAGTAACACTGGCCAACAAAAAAATTAGGCTCTTTCGGACAATGGCCTCAATAGCAGACAAATCGCCCAATAACTCATGCCTGATTTGGAACAGACGAGGAAGCATTGCGACATTACGATATCCGGCAAAATTCACATGAGCCAGAGCTGTCAAATGAAAGAGATGTAGACACGGGACAGAGACGATGGGAGTTAGATGCGAGAAGAGAGATTTATTCGTTTTGTTCTCTTGGCCTTTTCTATGTTTGTTAGGAATGGAACTCCGAGCTGATATTACGTTGCCTGGGGCCTTAAGCGTTGTGCCGAGATTGTTAATATGCCTCGCGCCCTCGCTACAAATGAGACGATGCTTGACACAGCAGCAATGCTGCGCGCAAGTCTGGCAGCAGGACGATGAGGTCAGCGTGGCACGCACGCACGCATTTTTCGAGGGCCCGGAGAGCCACTCCGGCTCGCGTTTGGACGAGAACGTTGCGGAGAGAACATGGCTGAGCGAGGTCAAAGGACAAAGTCTGTAGCGACAAAACAACGGTGGTGGTGGTGATCGTTGTTACTCCGACTGCAGTAAAAAAACGGAAGCCGACTCCGTAATTGATCGGGGGTCAGTGGTTTGTAATTACCGCAGTAATTATTTAACCTAATTATCCGCAGCAGTCTCTGCTGACGACACGTAGCTGTGTAGATCAGGGTTAAACGGTTGCAAAGTTGCTAGCGTTCTGTATGCACACTTGTGGCTTCTTGCCGCAGCTGACTCAATAAAATAATGCTCATTTTTTATTTTATTTAAAAATTCTGAATTGTAAGCGTGCAATGATTCATGAATAATTTATTTTGTGTTATGTCATGGAGGTACAATGTCAATATTTTATTGTAACCTTCCCACCACAGAGTCAATCAAATCAAGTTTCCACGTGGGGCTAAACACGCCAATTTATTGGTTTTTCAGAACAAAGCGGAGGAGGAGGAATGTTGAAAAGGGAGCAAAATGTTGACAATTTTACACGAGGTTTCACCGGAGGTTACATCCAGCATTGACAAGGGCTCCACTCTCGCGCGGGAGCAGAGCTTTTCAACATTCCTCAAGGTTGTTTGAGCAGAGTCGGCCTTGATTGGTGAACTGCCCAAAGTTTACAAGCAAGGACGCTCTTTCTCTGTTAGAAATGGCTCCTAAATTGCTTATAAACAAAGCTATTCAATGCGTAACACAATAATCAGTAGGGGTCATTGTGAAGAATGTTGATGGAAATGTAAATAATGCCTAAATCCCATACGTCTCTCCAAGGCTATGCAGCTGATTGGTTGTGTTAAAAAGTAACTTTAACTTGTTACGTAGGGAAATAAATGTAGAAAGGAGGAGTTATTTACTGTAGAACATCTCTTATCCGCGGTGATACATGCAAAGGACTGATTTTTCAGATCCTTTTATCTGCAGGGTTATTCACAAATTTCGTCCACTTATCCACTGGAAAAACAATCTAGGATAATCACAGATAATTGGAATAAATGGGCCGTGGATAATTGACTTTTCACGGACCCTACAGCTCCCACAAATAATAGGAGTTGTGGGTAATAGGGTTGTGGATAAAGAGGGTTTATCACGTGTCACGTTATTGATATATCGGCTTGAGTTGTTGCTTTGGAGACCGGGAGATCGTTGATTGATGTTCGGTCGCCGTGTTGATGATGCCACCGAACGGGATTTCTCACTCGGCAGAAAGCGGGCCGCGTGAAGGCTCCCAACGTCCACTCCACCACTCCATACGAAATCATCTGGCTCAACCACCTCCACGTAAAACTGGGAATTGTTGATCTACACCAACATCAGTCGTACAAAGAAGAAGGTTGACGTGGTTAAGGGAGAGCCCTCCGCGTGATAATAAACATGACAACGAACCGTGCGCTATCTCCTGTTTCTCAACCCGCTCCATCAATGTCAGGGGACCCCTTTTGATTGAGCACGTGGGCTGGCAAATAGGTGGGTTGGCAAATGCGTCGAAACCGCTGCCGCTATCATTTTAGCGATCAAAGCATTCCGCGTAGGTGGAGCGAGCGTGCCAACGTGTCAAAACTGAGACGAGCACTTGTGATGTGACGACGTGAACTCGCAAGCCGCGTTTCTCATCATCCCCTTCTCCGTAACGAAACCCCGTGGGTATACAATGCTCGGAGTCGCTGACGCCCATTGAGAAGAACGCACGGTATTATATAACAAAATATGGCTATATATTTATTTTTGCCAGGAAAGGCCCACTGAGCTATATAACTCTTTTCAGAGGCGACCTGGCCACCAATAACGAAGTGGCTTATCATGTGGAAATTTATAGCAGACAAATGCTCTATAGGCATGTTGATTCTAAATGTAGAGGAGAAAAATCGGAGGACCCAGAGAAAAAATCCACGCGACCAGGGGGAGAACACGCAAACTCCAAATATACAGCAGCAGGCGTCAGGGTCGGGATCGAACTCACGGCCTCCTGCAAACCAGGCGAGGTAGTTAACATCTCCCAACCACCGCGATGATGATGATGATGGGAGAGAGAGAAACGAAAACTCCAAATATACAACAGCAGGCGTCAGGGTAGAACTCACGGCCTCCTGCAAACCAGGCGAGGTAGTTAACATCTCCCAGCCACCGCGGTGATGATGATGAGAGAGAGAGACACGCAAACTCCAAATATACAGCAGCAGGCGTCAGGGTCGAACTCACGGCCTCCTGCAAACCAGGCGAGGTAGTTAACATCTCCCAACCACCGCGATGATGATGATGATGATGGGAGAGAGAGAAACGAAAACTCCAAATATACAGCAGCAGGCGTCAGGGTCGAACTCACGGCCTCCTGCAAACCAGGCGAGGTAGTTAACATCTCCCAGCCACCGCGATGATGATGGGAGAGAGATAAACGCAAACTCCAAATATACAGCAGCAGGCGTCAGGGTCGAACTCACGGCCTCCTGCAAACCAGGCGAGGTAGTGAACGTCTCGCCGCCGTGTCGCCCCCATTCACCCCGCAGAGCGTCTGAAGTGGCTCGGGAGGCGACTCTCGCCGTAATGGGACTCCGCCACGGAGCAGCGAGTGGCACTCGCGCGCCGCAATAATCGGGGACAATCTGCTGAGTCAGGGGCAGGTGGCGTGACAAGCGAGAGGCCGTCCCAAGGAGCACTCGGACGTTAAGATGCGGAACTTTATGCCATCGTAAAGAATAGACGTTCCGACACATTTACTTTGATCGTTATTTCCCCGTACACCGGCGTAAAGTGTGTGTTTACTGCTGTTGGAAGTTTTGAAGTTATTGAGAATTCATGCACTCAGATGCATATGGGTGGGTGAGCGAGTGGGTGGGAGAGTGGGTGGGAGAGTGAGTGGGAGAGTGAGTGAGTGTGTGGGTGGGTGAGCGAGTGGGTGGGAGAGTGAGTGGCAGAGTGAGTGGGAGAGTGAGTGTGTGGGTGGGTGAGCGAGTGGGTGGGAGAGTGAGTGAGTGTGTGGGTGGGTGAGCGAGTGGGTGGGAGAGTGAGTGAGTGTGCGGGTGAGTGGGTGGGTGAGCGAGTAAGTGGGAGAGTGGGTGGGAGAGTGAGTGAGTGTGTGGGTGGGTGAGCGAGTGGGTGGGAGAGTGAGTGAGTGTATGTGTGGGTGGCTTCTCATCTTTTCTCCACCTCTTCGCTTCCTCGCATTCCCTCCCAGTTCCTCCTCGGTTATTCTGCACTCTTGAGACGTTTGCAATATTCTTGGGCACATAAATGTAAGTTGTCGTTTTCCCTGGTAGTTGTGACTGAATTATAAATATGACATTGTAAATATGTTCTGAGTCATTACGTTTTATTTAAATGGTGTATCCTGTAATTACAGTACACGCAAACGTAATTGTTAAATGTGCTCTTGTTATTATTTGCGGTATATACAACCGGCGATGCCCTCCCCTAAATTTGTCCGGCGTTGAGAGACTTCGCCTTCTTCTGTGAGAGTGATCTGTAGAGCAGGGATGCGTTTCGGATTTCAAACGAAACGTCACCGGATGTCAGGTGACCCCGCTACTGGTCATCTGTTCACGGTGGTGGAGTGGTTTGTGGAAGGGGGTCTTCGACAGCGAATTCGGCTCCAGGCATTTGGTGGCGGTTCTCTCATTCCACCCCGGTTTGATAGCCTAGGCCGGCCGACCCTCGTAGTCCAACGTTTCGCGCCGTCGCCCCCACGAGACCTCCCAGAGCAGCGGTGACGCCGTGATAGCGTCGTGGCAATCTGGACGCGTACGGAGAAGAGTCGTTAGCCTACGGCACCGCGCCTGACAACCTGCGGACAATAACAACTTTAAAAAAGCACGCATTTTGTTCGCTATCGAATTACAATTTCATTACAGCACTCAAGAAGTTGTAAGGTTGCCAGAATATGGCAAGGCGACATAGATTACAACATCTGCCATAAGCAGTCCACGTTTATTTATTTTAAAAGCCACCTTAATTTTCTTTTTCCCTCGTAAAATGTGACCCTGCTGAAAGATCCTGGGCCTTAAAATTTAAGACGAGAATTTAACGAGACATCCTTGAATCCGAATCTCTGTATGCTTGGCTTAACAACGCCTGGGCAAATCCACTCGCTTACCTTGATGACAATTAACATTGACACTCGTATTAAACACTACCCACATGCAGTAAATGATCTCGAACAAAAAGAGGCTTTCACTAATTCCCTAACAAAAGATAATTAAACAAGTTTGACTCCACTACCTTTATGTTATCTGAGTCAAAATTGCGTGCAATGGTGCTCATGATGTAAAGATTTGATCAACTGTGCGCGAGTGATTTGCGATTGAGGGAGCGTGAGACCAGCCGAAGCACGTGATGGTCCTGATCGTGCAGCGGGCTTTGAGCTGATCCTCCTCGCTTCAAAATCGGAACCATTGGTCCTTTAAACTGGCATCAAAAGGACAAATATATAACAGGCAGGGCAATAACTCCCTTTCGTGTCGGATACATAGGCCACGGAGAGAGCGGATACGAGTTGGAGACTGCACTTAACACTGCTGTTCTCCTGACGAGCATTCAACAAACAAAATTGTTGTTCAGAGCTTCTGTGGGTCTTGAACCACTTTTCAGAGCAGTCGCGGTCCGCGTTGCCACCTATCCCGCGAGAGATCAGGCACATTGCAGGTGATGTGATGCTAGGCATTCGTCAAATGAAGGCAAAAATAGCCTTCCTCCCTCTCCACCAAGAACACGGTTCCCTCGAGTAACCTTCCACAGACTCGTCAACCCTGGGGGCATTGTAATTCCACCCGTCGGATGTAAATAACTGCAGGGCAAGCAAGGGATTGCAGTGGCTGTGACAGCTATGGTGGTGGAGCTGTTAAATACGAACGGCAAATGGCTTCGCGCGGTGTTTTATTATTATTTTTTTCCCCAGCAAACAGCATCGGCGGGTGCCGCGAGTATTGACAAGCCGATGTATTTTCAACAAGACCCGAGGTCCGACCTCGCGGCAGACGCCACAACGGCCCGGCAGCGGCGATGGCACCACGTGCACGCGACGCACCGCAGGACGCACGCGTCCCGTTCGCGCGGCCGGCGCCGCTGGCTAACGACGTCCGCGGGAAACGGAGACAAACTGCAGTCTTTGAAAAGGCGGGTTCAGCACAAGCGCGCGATAGATGATTTGCGGGATTTGGGCGTTGAGCCCTGATGTCACCGTTCCTAGATTTTGATAGTACAATTCCTACAACTGAATTAACTCGCTGCGCTGCGGTCGTCCCCAGCCCTCCGTTGGACGCCTTGTTGTGAATGGGGGTGGTGTGGAACGTCGAACGACGATTGGCTCCCACGGATGACTTCTGCGTGCGCCTTTCGTTCGAGTGCTCATCGGTTCAAAATAACTCTGCCCGTCGGTGTTGGGAGCATCGAGCCGAGTAATGGACATTCCACATTCCTATGGCGTGGCGTTAGTCCATCCACAGGTCGCCGGTTTGATTTCATGACCCAGCGCGGCTGTTCTCTAACAATATACACGTTCATAACATCCCCTGGTCCCCGCAGCAGCAGTATCAATGTCCACCGCAGTCAATCGGCAGGTCGCATACGGTGGGGTCAAGTGTGGGTGCCTCCACCTCTTCCAAGACGGCGTGGAAGAGTAGACCAAAGTACTCTCTTGTACATTTAGTGTGGAAGCCCTTGAGCTAGCAGCGGCTTGAGCAACATAATAGCAGGGCTGCACCTTTACCTTGACAACCGGATGGGCTGATGCTGGCTTTGTCGGTGAAATTGGCGCTGCGCTTTGTGCGTTTGTTCAAAAGTGCCGCTATTACAGGACGCGTAACACAACACTCATATCAGGCGAAACTTTTTTTGCGGAGAGAGAAAGGGAGCTCTTTTTCAAGCGGCGGAATAAATTCCCGGTCCATTTCGGCGTGTCAGCGCGGCTCTGCGGCAAGGGACGCAGCAAGACGAATGATCTACTTTGAGAGAGAGTCCTCGTGGCTGGCGCAAGATGCACAATTCCGCGTTAGGCGACCAAGCAGCGCCTTTAACTTACGCACCTGCAGCAATCCATTCCCCGAGCGCCCCCCGCCCCCTCCCCCGCAAACACAGACGAGACGGAGTGGGGACCTCGCTCTTTTAACGCCTTGCGTCCTCGGTCCCGTGAATCGCTCGAGGATTTCCGTGGTACGGATCCCGCGCGAGCATCGGCCCGCTCTGCTTCGCGAGCAGACGGCGGCTCGCGGGCCGTGCCGTGCGGCGGGAACTTCCCAGCGACGTTGGGCCAACGTTGGCGTGTTCACCAAGGTCGCCGTGCGGTGGCGACTGCCTGGTTAACGTGCGACGGGCCAACGCTGGCCACGTGGTTTAAAATCCGTTGGGTGAACGTTGGGCCAACGTTCCATGTTTATTGGGTTGCTGTGTGGGTGACTTGCGTGAAACCGCATCGCCCCCCACCCCGACCCCCTTGGGAGTCTCCCCCCCCATCTCGCCCCCCCCCCCCCAGGCCCCTTGGGATTCCCCCCCCCCCATCCTCTACCCGTTCGTCAATAACACCGTGACATTGTAATGGTATAGTTGTATAATGGACAACGTTTCAGGCAATGGCCCTTTTTCACAGCGCACTAAACGTGTTTGTGTACGAGAGCCCGTCGCCTGAAACGTCGCCTAAATAAATAGAGTCACCAAATAAATCCGCGGCAGGTGATATGGCTTCGTGAAAACATCGGTGCATTATCTGTCGACGTGGGAGCAGCGCGATGGCGCTCACACGCAGGATCCCTTCTCTAAAAATCTCTCATCGTGCCGCTCTCTCCTCCCTCCTCACCTGCCATCAATCTCTGCTCTCTCCTCGTCCTCCTCCGAGTCTGCTCTCGGAGTCCAAGCCATTCCTCCCCACGCTCGCCATATCTGTTGACTCTCTCCCTAATATCTTCAGCTCTCTCCCTAAAGACCGAACTGTTTCATATTGATTTATCTCTCTTCAATTCCCCACGACCCCTCCGGTCGTTCTCTGTCAAGTGTGCGCGTGTGCTGTGTGCGTAGCGGTCGTGAGCCAGCGGTTGGCGCACTGCCGCTACGCACCCGGCCACCCGAGTTCGATACTCGCTCGCGGACAACACCAGCGGCGAATATCTAAACCCGCTCTGGGTCTCCCCTAGGTCGACTCAGCCTCAGATGAGCATCTGGTGCAGTGTGTAAACACCGCCACTAGGGAGACAAAGGCAGCCGGGCGTGGTGCTGCCCATCCACCCCATTCCATGCCGTGCCAGCCGTCATAGGTGCTCGCAAACAGCACTTGTCCCAACAGTTTGTTATGGCTATACGGGGGATCTTTGCCTTTGTGTACGTAGTTGCTTAACCGTGGCCCTGTCTGTACCCGTGTCTTGTAACACACACCTTGCTGTGATAATGCAATCGCGTGACATGGTGTCAAAAGCCCTGAAATAAATCCACTGCTGGATGAGGACCTCCCAGCCCCATGCTGTGCGAACCCTGGGGGACATTTGACCATACTTCACCCTGCTGGTCACTGACGTTGGAGCCGAGTGTAACTGCGGGTTTCCGCTACCTTCCCTTCTGGTGACAATGGTGCCGAGCCAGCAGCCTCCAATGCCCGCTTGATGCATGGGGGACCCCCCCCCCCCCCATTGCAAGCACTATCCACCAGTGAACATGCCATCTTTGGGCCAATGTTGGCACGTGGTTAGGGACCATTGGACTAACGTTGGCACAACGTTGCGGCAACGCTCCACGTTCACTGGGCAGGCTCTATGCGAGATGCGGGTGATTTGATCATAGGACGTTCTTCTCACACTATTTAGCCGCATTGGAAATATACGGATAAAATTCGCCTTACAAATGTAAATCATTATTAGATTACCTCCTGCAATCAGAGCGTTTGACTCGCATTTGGAAGGCGATGAGTTCAAGTCCCGTGTGCGGGTTGCCTCAGCCGACCCTCCCCCCCTCCCCCTCTAGGCAGGGAGACACGATGGCCGAGACCGTTTCTGTAAAACCAAATTGGACTGTCATGTCGCACCTTGTAGTGCATCAACGAGGCTTCTCTGCCCAGCATCAGGGCGCTATTAACGGGTGTGTAAACAAGCGTTTGTAATTCACACAATTGGCACTTTCTTGTTTGTTGAGAGAGCCCCTACAGCCCCCCATTGTATTTCTAGACGTATTTACACATCACAGCGCTTACACACACAGACAACTGTCTCCCGTGCGTCGGCAGCAATCACTTAGTGAGCTTTAGTGTTCTCTTTAAAGTGTGGTCCACCCCCCCCCCCTAACATCACTCGCATCACATTGTGATATGCAAATGCGGAAAACGAATCCAATTATCCCGCACTCAAACGGGAGAGCGCACGCGAGCGAGCGAACGCTTTCCCGATGCGTTTCAACGTCCGGCGGACGATCGGCTTCATCTCTGCTCAGAACGAGCGGCGGGGGTGTGCGGTGGGGTGATTTGGGGCGGGGGGGGGTCCCCTTCACGCTTGCTCTCGAACAGCCACCCCCATACCGCGCCCTTCATCTCTGTCAAGCGCCCCTTGACCCTCCTTCCACTGCCCCAACAACAACAAAATGCCCATGGTCTCTCCAACGTTCGTCGTCGTCGTAGTCGTCTCAGAGCCGCAACAAAATGTTTATACCATGAACCCCGTGAGCGTCACGCGGCGTGGAACCCGGCAGCGGAGGCACCGGTGCTCGTTTTCGTGGCCGTTCTCCGCTTTTGTTGTGTCATGGTCATTTTAGTTGTGGTAGAGTGTCAGTTAAGTCAGCCTAAGCAGACTTGAGTAGTGGGTTTCGGCAGATGCAACTCTGTCATGAAATCATGGGCCCGGGGTGGGGGGGGGGCTCTGGGCAACCGAACGATGTGCTTATCATGAGAAGAGCACCATGGATCCATCTCCTGAGATGCCCTGCAGCACCCACAATGCACTCCTCCAGATGTTGGCAATGCCAACACCAGAAGCGGTGGCCTGTGCAGAATATTGGGAAAAGACCAAATCTAGGTTGGGCCAAATTTAGGTTAGACGACACGAAGAAGAAGAAATTAAGTCACGGTATTTTGTGGATTTCAGTGAGGTGATTGTCTTTGGTTGACGAAATTGCTTAAAAATATGGTCAAACGCCCTCGGTCATTACTGTTTACTCTACTACAGTCAATAACTCGACACATTCCTTATTAGCGCCGGCCAACCAACAATGCTGGGGACGATATACCGCATGTGACCATGTCAGAGATGGCTTGTGTACGGATACGCAGCCAGAAACCATCACGCCGCGGTCTTCCCCAGCGCACCAGTCCCCAGTGACGCGGCTGAACGATCTCAGTCTGCGTCTCCGCTCGCACTCGGCTGGTTTCGTCTTGGAACGGTCAGTGGCGCGTCGGTCTTCGGTGGGCGGTGGTCCTTCGTCAAGCTTGAATTTCGTCAATTCAAATACTTTTCTGACGAGCATTTTCGTCTCGAACTTCGCGAACAAAAGTGAACGCAAGGCCGGGCACCCGGACTCATCGTTGTAAACTTAAAGCGCTGCAGCCCCAGCCCTGTGCAACGCTGTCCACTGTGATCACCCGAAGCGTTTGTCTCATTACCTTCAATTTCCTTCGCGCCCCTGCTTACCCCTCTGACATAATTCCTCCCCTCCCACCCCATCCTTCACAGTCTGGATCAGCTCTGAGAGAACTCTTGCCTGCTTGCCTGGTCACCTGGGCTCGCTCTTGAATCCACACGGATGGGGAGGTAATCCCGTCCCTTCTCCTCCCCGCTCCTCTCTCGTCTGGGGTGGCACCACTCTCCGCACTTGCCGATTTAATTAATCGTCACAATTCACGGCCACAATTCCATTAAATAATTTAATCTTTGTTTGTTTATATATGTGTACATTGTTGTGATTGTGGCAGCCTCGTATGCAGTTCTTCTTTGCAAGGCCCTCGGGCCATTTGGTGACCCCTTGTGGCCTTTAGTGCAGCCCCTGACGCACCCCATCATCATCATCATCATCGTGCTTTGAAACCCAATGGAGTCAAATGTGTGGTGGCCCTCACACTGAGCAGTCTTAGGGGCCGTTCATAAATGACGTCACGCGATTTTGGACGATTTTGGACCCCCCCCCCCCTCGTCACACGGCGTCATAAAAATTCAGACCCCCCCTAAAATATGACGTCACAAAGCTCTGCCCCCGCCCCCCCAAAAATAAACACATGCTTCAAATCGCTTTAAACTATTGCCATTGTAGCGTGTATTTCATGTGGCGATGCACTCTGATGTTGTAGGAGAAAGCATTTATCAAAAAGTCTATTTAATTAAGTAGAACGTGTCGTCTATATTCATTTAAAGTTGCGCATTTTGATGTGACGTCACATTTCTCAACACCCCCCCCCCTCCCCATCGTCACACATCGTCACAAATGTCTGACTCCCCCCCTCTAGGTGCGTGACGTCATTTATGGACGGCCCCTTATCGGTGAAAGTGCCCCCCCTCTGAAAATGAGTGAAGAACACTGCTCTGGTGACTCCAGGAGGGGCGTGTGAACCCGTTGCGTACAAAGCACGCGTCCCCTGGTCAGTCCACTGCTGGATGAAGACACCCTCACGCCGTGCGAGTCGTGTGGGTTCGGTTCTTGGACCGTACCTCCAGCCTGCGGCGTGGTGTGCTTCCGTGAACAACAGGCAGCATATGCATAGGAGCATAGAACTACAGTATAACAACAATAGATGTTGCTGCTGCAAGGCTAGTTCTCTGCCAATGCACGTCTGCCTGCGGCCTACAATAACAGGCTGTTGTGCGTGGTGGTTACCCATCCAGGCACCCTTCCTACACGACCGTCTCCCCAGCGTTGATGAGTCGGACAAAATACAATCCAGAGGGGCTCTCCAGTGCGGAGACCCTTCTTCCCGCAGTGGCTTGAACCAGCTATTGCAGGGCTGCCCCTTTTAAACACAATGTCTAATAAGATAACGCTCTGTACGTTAAATAATGAGTCATTTTGGCAACTCTAGGCTCGTGTGTTTATCTTATATAGGGGAGCATTAATAGTGAATGTGCCAATTGTTTGTTAATTGTATTTGATGTTTCGGTGTAATCATTGCTTGCCACCTCATTATTTCCATGCTATTAAGCTGTACAGAACAATTTTCGATAGAAATTATAATATAATAGCGTTGATCTTGCAACCGATTTGCATGAAGCTAATGGTGTTAATTCACACCGTGTTTTCCCCCGATGGCCTGGGTGTTCACGTGGTACATGGTGTGCGGACGTGCATTCAGAATTCACAAAGTTCACGAGGAGTGTTGTGTGCGAGTCTCTTTGCTGGGCAATGACGTGCCTATTGGGGGCAGTACATCAAGTAGGGTTTCTAACCAATTTGTGTGGAGCTTGAGCGCCATCCTCTCCTCTGTGTCGGTGACTTCAAGGTCCCGTATTCCCATAGGCAAGGGATGCTGTGGCGGTGTAAATGGGTCATGGTGAGCGCACTGAACTTGCAATCAAGAGGACACCAGTTCGATTCCATGTTTCTGTGCGGCAGTCGAAACAACGTTCCCCCCCCTTCCCCACTGCCTCTGTCCACCCAGTAAATGGGTGCATGGTAGGTATTCGACCGACAGGTCAGGTGTGGTGGGGCAAAGTGTGGGTGCTCCACCTTCTTCCTGATGTCTGGCCGGTGTGTAAGAATAGGCCAAATGCTCTCTAAAAAGGAGTTCACTTAAACTCTCTCATAAAGGTAATGTCGGCATGGAGAGGCCTCCATCCAGCAGTGAATCGACTAGTCGTTGTGTGCACGTATAACTCTTTCAAATGCAACTGGCCGAAGATCCCAAGCGGGACATATTTTAGCAATCCGTGTCTGCTCCGTAATGCCTTTGCTGGGCAAAACGTGCAGAAGCATCCTGATACTGTGCACACGCTGGGCACAAGCCGCGCCATTCACAACAATTCCTCTCCACTCCGTGCAAATCCGTCACAAATAATCTCGTAGTGCCGTGGAGCTGACATTTGTTTTTGTCTTCGGGCAACGCCACTAATAAAAACCCCTTTTGTCAACTACGCTTGTCGCAGTCCACTCTATATTCGTTATCATAGAGAGACTGGTCTTGCCCCAGGCGCTGAGCCCTGTGGGAAGGACACGAGGAGAGCGAAACTGAAATTGAATATCAGTTATTTTGGCCCCAGCTGCGGAAAACTACTCCGCCGGCTCGAGATGGGAAAGAGACGTCGTGATGTGCAGATATTAGTTTTGTCTGGGGAGTAGAGGTGGGATCTTTTAATCAGTGGTGTAAAGTGCAACAGGAACAAAAGCTCTCCGATGGAAATGTTCGAGTGTATTTCGTGTCCGCTCTAACCTCTGCCTCCCGGCTCTATCCAGTCACTCAACAGGAGACGTGTACTCAAAATACACCACCACAATTACAACTATTCAGGAAGGTCCTAGGCAGCTACATCTATATCATTGCATGTCTACGCCTTCTTTCGTGTCGCTGATGTTATTTTGTTGTTATTCTACATAATGTGATAGCTAAACAATGCCGTCCTACTGTGTTAGGCGAACAATATTTGAGTGTTTAAGTCACGCATAACCACATGCTGGGAAGAGACTATTCCCATGAGTGTCACTGAATACCGTCTGTGCAATTGCTAATGGCCTTTGTGAACACCTATGCATATGAGATCTTTCTCAAAACTTCGCAAAATGGACGATTAAATATTTTAAAGCATATTTCACTCTGTATTTTACGTCAAGTGGGGAGGTTGTTTTAGAATACTGTACGTGTAAAATAGCGCTCTAATGAGCACACCGCGCTAATGGTTAGACCGACTGTCTCTGGATGAAGCAATCTGGAGATTTGTCCTTGGTACAGATTGGCTGAAGGGCATGCGGTGGCAGAGAGCGATGCTCTATCAGGATTAATCTGGCTCACTGGGTGAGACTCAATCAGGTTAGAAGCAGTACGCCGGGGCCTGACTCTACACAGCCCAGCAGCTGAAATGCTCCCAACGCCCCAACCTCTCTCTTTGCCTGCTTTCCTGCTGCTGCACTGTAATGCTTGTGGTTGTTGTTTGGCTGCATGGTCATTGATATCAGGGCATCATTCCAGCCGGAGCTCACCGGGACTGAGCTCTGAAAAATACGAACCATCATTTCCCTATTTCCTCCTTACCACACCTTTTTCTTGCGATCTGTTGGGATTTGCGGGTGGTGGGGGTGGCGGTAGGATCCAGGGAGTTGGGGATTGTAGGGCGATAGAAAACGTGAAAATTCTACGATAAATTATATGGCTATTATCATGCAGACGCAGTTTAGAAGCAACACACTGAGCCTCTCTGCGCGTTCGGTAATTGCAACGCTACAAAAGCCTTCCCACCTCCCTCCCCGCACACTCACCACCAATGTCTTTCAGTGTTGCATTTCTGAATGATCGTTAAAGATGATTGCATTGTTTATCAGAAAAAGTGGTTAACGCGCTGCGCGATTAACCCTGCGGTTTGAGTTCAATCCCTGGCCAGAGTGCCGATCGATACCACAACCGTACCTCGTCACTCCCTCTTCATCAACCTGTACTGACCATCATGGTGAGGTATGGTCATGGGAATTGGGAGACCTTCATCCACGAGTGGATTGACATAGGGCTGTAAAATTTTTATTTTTAAACTCAACAGTGGTAGCCCTATGGATAGACTCTCATCCCTGTGTGGATTTTCCACCATTGACTAAGGACTGTAGACAGATGAGCGCTGCACCACGCTTATGTGAGCAGGAAAACTCTGGAATTTACCATTATTCGCATGACTATTATAATTTTACAATTACACATGCCACTGGACAATATTGGTCTGAAAGCCGTTGGCTGATGGACTAAATATATGAGTGTTTGAATACGGAGACACAGAATTGGACTCAGTTTATATTTTATTTTACCCACAATGCTCCACGGCAACACATAATGAATTTGTGTACCTTATTTCACATTGGTCTCTCCGAAATGAAGCAATCTTGAATTGCAGCGGAAGAATGATTTGTGTACCAAACGTTACATTTCTAGGTCAGAGTGCTGTAAATATTGTGGTACACTGACAAGCCAACAAAATTGGATACATCTGCAAAGTGTCATGCCTTGCAGTTGCCTACGTACGGATGCTGATGAAATGGAAGTGTCTGGCCGCTTGTTCTTGCAATACGTCAATTACTGAACCACGGTAACGTCTGCTCTGAACGTCTTGATAATCGCCTCCTACTACTGTGGCCCAGCCTCGTCTGTCTGCAATTTCTACTCTTGGATAATCGTTGCCGTGATTTGGGGCAAGCTGTTGCGTGTACTCAGGACGAGATGGACTTTGATTTCCCTGGTCATTATCCAGCAGCTTCAATTTTGGGACGATGGCCCTGCCGATTATGAGGCCACAACGATAATGCAAACCTCATCAACGTGGGGATACGGCATTCCCTCTCCCATTCTCGTGGCAAATCGGAGTCGTGATGTGGGGCTGCCAGTGTTTTTACACACCCAATGTGCAAACCTACCACACTCACTTCCATCTCATCCGTTGTGTTCATCCAACGCACGGCAGATCACAACGCTTCTCTCTCTCTGCTTCTGCGCTCACAGAGAGCGACTTTGAGATTCCCTCTCGTCATCTCTCTTCCCAAGCTCTCATTATAACCTCGCTAAATTCTAGGAATGTGAATACGCTCATCTATTGTCAACTTTGACGCTGTGTGTTGCTGGAAGCTTCGTGTTTTTGGGCCTGTACTGAGCAACTTGAAAAATATAGTAAAATAATTAGCAACATAAATATATTAGGGTGTACATTTCGCTTAAAGGCATGAATTAGTTTCATTCGCTAGAAGGAATGGATGGCCAATGGTTAAGAGTAATGACAGTGGCATTAGTTTGGGTGATGTTGCTGCTTGAATTTCCCAATGCGGTCATTTACGGTGAATTTATGAAAAAAAAAGACAAATCTAGACCCTGTGGTGGACACACAGGTGCCTTCTCCTGCTCCGTGAAACATGTGCGCCTACTCTTTTATTTTTTATTCTCACGCAGTATTAAACAGGCTGCCCGCCGGGCTCCAACCGCGCAAACCACAGCGCCCGAGCGGTTTATGGAAGACGTTGCACGCACACGGACAACATGGACACACACATACACACACCTTGTGTATGATAGCTTTTTATTCATTATAGACAGTTTCTTTTTTATAGCACATTGGGCAATTTATGTGTGAGCAACAAAGCATTTATCGTGATATAATTAAGATGGTCACTTTAAAATGACTGTAGACTATGGAAAATAACTGTAACGCAACATTGCATGGCACTGCACTCACTAAGGTGTAACACTGTAAAGAATAACGGCTCTAAGTACATGAAAAGTAACCCTACGAGGTCCCTAAGAGCCCAATACACAATAAAGAGTTATATTAAGCGTTGTCACTTCATGTTTATTAGCTTTATACACTAAGCAGCGTTAGCAAATCACTTACATCCATGTAATCCATAAAGAAAAAAGATCAACATGTAATTATCATTTGTCTTTCATCCCTGAAAACAAATACTGTAACGAAATTAAAGTACAGGATATAACAATTTTACATGGTGAGAAATAATCAGTCGGCTGCAAGCAGAGTGACAATCATCGTCGTCATCCTTGGCTCTGCGAGCAACACGCGTCAACAAAAACACGGTGCTGTGGAAAAGTTGGGGTCGATAACATCTCGTCGCAAACCCAACACTTTGCCGTCAGCGATGAGTTAAACCCACATCATCCCAACAGGAGAACGCGTGCAGGCTGGAAACAAAGAGAAACAGCGACGAGCAAAAGGCGCGCTGCTCACAACCAGCAGGAAGGCACGACTCCCATCGTGCCCTGCATGCTGTGCGACCTCAACAATAATAACAACACGGCGGCCACAGGCTCACCCGGTGGACACGGAACATCGTCGGGTCAACGTTAGCCCAACGTTGCACATTTACCGGGCGGCTCCTTTGGGGATAGAGGGAAGAGGGGGCTGGTGGTCTGGACAAGACTGAGAGCGTTGTTGCGACGTGCAAGGCATGATGGGAGTTGTGCTGTCTGCTAGGCGCACGCGACTGCGCGCGGCACAGGAGGGCTCGAAACAAGGGCAGCATCGGGCGTGAGGAAACACAACCTGGCGAAGGTGTTGCAGCCTCGTGTTTGGGTTCATCCCTTTCACTGCCCCACGTCAACGGGGCAGTACCGCTCCCAACAACAGGAGCACCCCTCCCTCCCCCCTCGGCAGATATTTTAACTGCTATAACTTTCATATTTTTTAAAAGCTCTCTTTGACGATATGAAAAAAGCAACTAGCTACGACGGCCCCGACTTAACATGGCTTGTTTGTAAATTGAATGTTTTTGATTGTAAAAGTGTTTATTTCATTGTATTCCCCAAGAAGTCGTTAGTCTTAGAAAATGTTTAATTGCTTAACTTTTACACATCGCCGACGTTGGGAATGATCGGACCAATTTCAATGTGCAGGTGTCATCGATACGCCTTCATAATGTGGAGGAATTACACTAACCAGGCTCTCAGACCGTAAATCGCTTTCTTAACAAAGCTTCGTCGGCCGTGTGTGACTGCCCCAGATACACAACACACACATATATATACTATACATATTTCTTTTGTTTTGTTCGTAAGAATCACTTATTCACTGTACACTCAACAGAATGATAAAGGAAAAAATAAGATACATTTATAGCAGTGGAGTCCATTGTACAAGGACAGACAATGGTGCTGATATTGTGACTAACCATTGCTTCACTTCGCTAGCAATGCCACAGTACGCGGACTGTTCTGGGCTTTTTTTGACAGAGCACTTGAAGGCCAATTTGGCATAAATCCTAGCCAAGTGCATTTAAAGACATCTTACTGTGCTGTTATATATACTATATGCTAATAATGTACGCTATGTATACTTTGTTTTATATACACACACTTACATATACCGCATATGCTGACTGCGTGTAGTCTATACGCACGCCGCATATACAACACACATTCTCTCTTCTGCGCGCTCGCTTATCCCACTACTTTGATAGTTGTCATGTTTCGTTGATAGAGTACAGTCTGCTCCAAGCATTTATTTATTATTCATATATTCTTTCATAACGGATTTTGTTTGTATACAGGGTATAAAATTAGCAGAGGGGAGGAAGGCGGCGAGGGGGGGGGGTGAGATTTTACGAAAAAGTTTTATTGCTGTATAAAACCAAACAAAGGACAGCTTCATACGCCGGTCGCGCCTGGCAAGGTAGCGGCAGCTGTCGGGCTAAATGAGAATAGGAGTAAAATCACCTCAATAAAGACCGTTCGTTGTTCAGCACATCAAAAGGTCTTGGCACATCCGTGTCTCTGTACATTGTTTTGTGATCACCAGGTCGTCTGTCGTCGTAGCAAGAGTTGCAAAAGGCAGAGGCCGGCGGCTCGATGCGGCTAGACGCGGGTGGTGGAGTGCGCGTGGGGCAGAGTGGCGCTGTTCATGACAGCGAAGCCGCCGAAGGTGTGCATCGGCTGCATGGCGCTCGGGATGAGCGTGATGGTGTTGGGCGTCATGAGCGGAATGTCGTCGGGCGACCGCCGCATGGCGAGCGCGTAGTCGCACTCGGGCCCGCCCGCCACGTTGGGCCGCAGCGCGTCCAGGGCCACGCACGGGAAGTCGCAGGTGTGCTCCTCGCCCTCCACGCCGCTGCCCAGCTGCTGCTGCTGCTGCTTCATCTGCAGCGTCATGACCTCCTCGTCGCGGTTGCCGCGACCCATCCGCTCGCCGGCGCCCGCCCGCTCGGGTCCGCACCCGCGCTCGGGGCTCTGCCGGCGGTAGGCGCCGTGCCGGCTCTTGTCCCGGCGGTAGTAGAGCGCGGCGAAGGCCAGCACGTTGAGGAAGAGCAGCGAGGCGCCCACGGCGATGGTGACGCTCAGCTCCGTCGAGTAGTCTCGCTGGTCCTCCACGAGGACGCTGGAGGCGTCGGCGGGGCCCCGTGCGTCTCCGCCCTTCTTGACGCCGTCGTCCTGCCCGCGGCCCTTCCCGGGCGCCGCCGCGGACGAGGCGACGGCGGCGGCGGGCCGGCGGGTCGTCACCGACCACGAGGGCCGCGTCCCCGAGCGGCGGGGAGCTCCCCCGGCGGAGGAGGAGGAGGAGGCCGGCGTGGCGTAGGGCGAGGGCGCCTTGGTGGTGGTGCTCGTGTACTGGAACATGTCGTGCAGGTTGTGCAGGTGCGGCACCAGCTCCAGCCAGAAGGCCACCTTGGTGGCGCGGTAGTGCTCACGCACGCGCGGCTTCAGACCGATGTGCAGGTAGTGCTGGTCCTTGGGGGAGTACTTGGACCAGGCCATCTCCTCGTAGCGGTTGGGCTTGTTGTGGATGAACTTGGTGTCCTGCGGCACCGGCGCGTTCGGGTCCCTGCATCCGCCCGGAGGGGGGGGGGGGGCAAGGCAGGTGACGCGTGAGTACGGTACAACGGGCGCGCGCCAGCCACGTCGCGTGTCGGGGCAGCTGTTTAGAATCTTGAAGACTTGGGCCTGTGCCCAGAAGCTGTGATTGAAAAAATGCTATAACCGCGTTATTTTTATTCCTGCCTAATTTGTTTGTATTCGTAAAAGTTTTATGCACTGTTAGGAACCATTTCTCAAATGTATACATAGTGTATTGTGTGAACGCTGGTTAAAAAGAAACAGAGGGTCTATTTATCCTCTCACCTGGTTATAAATAGCATATATAAATGAATGAATGTGCGTGATTTAATTATTTTACCGATCTTTTCCATTACCTTTTTGACCAAGTGTTCCGCTCTCAATGAGGTGACAGATTAAAAACAGCAACAACAATGGTCATGCAAGGCGGCACAGTGGTTGTGTTATTGTGTGCGAATGCCTTTGCCCGTAAATTAAATATTGATATTCTGTGTTGTGATGCAACGCTTGATTAACACCTCGGAATTTATTCCAGCACGAAGAAATATCGAAATTCGTCTTCTGTTCCACCTTGTAAACAAACACTCCCTTCATAATTACCATTCCCTGAAGAACGACTGCTGCAAGAAATGGTAGATTATTATATTTGTATCAGTTATGACGACAATAAAAAAATATTGTCCTTTATTTAGGAAAATCCTTCAGGCTTTTTTTTCAGCAGCGTCCTGAATTATGATGTTTGCTTGAACAAAAAAACCCCCACACGTATGACAGTATGGCACTAAAAGCTCCACACAGATAGATTCAACATTCTATTTCTGTACTGGCACACTTGGTATTCCAGTCCAGGCAGTCTCCCATCCAAGTACAAACCAGGCCCAACTCTCCTTAGCGTCTGCTATCTGGTGAGACATGGGTCCACTCAGTGATGTGGTCATAGGTCAACTGTAAGGCATTGTTCATGACAACAGTGAAAAAGTATTTCCAGTTTGTGCTTCACCCACCACCACTGCTGTCATTGACTCATCTTATTTCATGTCGAACTATTTGCACACATGTACAGTACATCCATGGAGAGACTGGTTCTTGTCATGGAAAATGAAATTTCTAAGGTAGCCCGTCTGATTCAGAGGTCAGAAACACCGACGAGGTGGCACCTCGGGCATCTTGGGTTCGAATCTGAGTTTCATCCGTTTGCGATCAAAGCAGCAGATGCCGAGCTATTGCGAGTTAATGGTTCGGCCGGGATCTGGTTATCTATGACGTCATGTATGATGTTAAATCCGTGGGTTTTTTTTACCTCATTTGCCGAAATTTCAGTTTTGACTGCCAATGGTGATGAACATCTCTCTATTAGGCATAACGTCTGGGAAAGCAAACATATTTGGAATAATGTGTGTGTGTGTGTAAGGGGGTCACTTGAAGGGAGATCTCAACAGTTGTTCTGGGTAATCACCTTCTGTGGGACACTCTCTAAATACGAGGTAATGTACTGTTCAGCGAGAGTTCCGAGTAGACATTTATATGTGTCGTACGTAGCGTGATGGCAGGAGCAAAATTGGAATAAAATTGGGATTTTTTTTTGTAAACAATTTTTTTAAAAAACGAGATGGAATTTCTCTTCACCCACTGGCACACGACCGAGATTTGGAGATGAGCAATGCCTCTAACATTCACTGGACTGTGTGGTGGTGATGGTGGTCACTCTGACTTTTCAACTGTATCCTCTACCCTCACCCGCAGAATGAATTGCTCAAAATGTCCCGTGAAATCGCCTCAGGCTGGCCAGTGCTTGTGCCCAAGAACTGATAAAGACGGTGTTCACCTCCTGAGTCCAACTGCCAGGCTCCCCTCCTTCCACACACACACAAGTACACCGCCTTTGCTATGTGTTCAAGAAATTCACAAAAAGATCTAAAGAATTACATTGTTTGTTACTTTTTGCATCCTTCAGCTGTCCACACTGCCAGCACATTCACAGACACACACACACAGAACACAGACCCCCCTTTAGCTTCAGCTCACTGTTGAGGCAATCGCTGTTAGTGAGCACCCTTTCAAGCCAACACAGCAACATGAGGGGGTGGTGTGGCTAGCACCACGCCCGGCCACCTTTGTCTCTCCACTGGTTGTTTACAAGTTTAACCGTGCACTCATTTGAAGCTGAACTGACCTAGGGGAGATCCAGCACCAGTTTAGACATTAGTCACCGATGTTGGCCATGGACAGGAATCGAACTCGGGTCACCCGGTTCACAGCATAGTGCGGTAACCACTACTCTACCGCTTCCCATAATACACAAAAACACAGACACCTACGTCCACAAAAACTACGCTCACATTCGCAGGGTCTGTGCATGTGTGCACAACACATTAACAGTGTCTGTGCATGTATTTGCACGACACACATACAGACAAACAGACAGACACACGAACGCACAAGACGCGTACACACAAAGACAACACACACACACACACCATCAACTGGCACAGACACAGAGACGAACAACCGCTGTGTACACACTTCGGACAAAAACATCGGTGCGCATCATGTCGCCGGGGATAGCTTTCGCAAAAACAATTTCCAACTCTCTCCACTCCCATTATCAATACCACAGGTGGTAGCTCATCATCAAAACATCGGCTCATCAAAACATCGGCTCATCATCAACGCCACGGGGTGGCTTGCTCAGTCCAGTTCCTGTGAACGTCCAGTCCAATACAAGGAACGTGAACGGGGTTTCGTCACTGACGAGACTCTCTGGGTCGGTGTGTGGGCCCCGCAGGCGTGGAGTGGGGCAAGGCACCGCACGCGCGCAGCGTGGGGCCTCGGGCGTCACCGCATCTCTTTAATGTACTTCCCCAAAGTGGCGCGGTGCCCTCTGCTGATTGTACAAAGTTACCTCTCATTGATTCATAATGGCAATCACAAAGCGATGTGTGCGTGCCGATGTTATCTTTACCGTTTCGTGCATTCGTTGCCGTAGAAAGCGACGGCGGTATTTGCCTTCCGCAATTTCCTGCGGCGCCACGCGCGCACCCCGTTTTGTCAATCGATGCCCGTCCACACCGTGAGGTTTTTTGAACCGTACTTCACCAGACTGGTCAGTGTGGCTTGGTGAAGGTGGGGGAGGCAGTGCAGAACGTCAGTGGATTCCACTGCACTGCCCTCTAACCCGCACGACGTGCCCTCTATCGCCTGTGCGTGTTTTATACACCACGAGCACTATGCAGCCTCAAACCAAGTTCTGGCAAGATAATAGGTAACTTCTGGCTAATATGTAGTGCAGTATATGAAACAAATGAAATATATGGAGTCATTAAGAATCTTAAAAATAAACGTTGTGTCTTTTGTTAGCGTGGTTAATTGCTTGGTTATTCACTAATTCCTCATGCTCGGCACGCTGTGTTTCGTAATTCACAAGGCGTGCTTTTTGGCGGAGCCCTTTGAACCACGCGGGAACCTCGCCAAGTTATTCCTATGCGGTGTTTATGGCATCGTGACTGGGAACAAACTAAAAGTAACGTCACGAATACAGATCGTACAAGCTGCACGGTGCTTCTATCCTTACCGCATTAATTTCGAAGTAACGGTGAAATTTTGTATTTTATTTCGCGTGGCGGTTACATTATGCATATTTTTAAGCATGAATGCACGGTTTACTTACGATTTTAGATTTTTTTACCACGAATAAAGAGGCAAATGCCACGGTAGGTTTTCTTTTTCTTCCCAATCTGCAAAAAAGCGTGTAGATTCCTGCCTCGTGTTTTCCGCCGCGTGATATCCACACGGCCTTCCCAAGAGAGCCGATCTGGCACCAGCGCTCCGATGCTTCCTAATACATTACCTCTGCACGCCAATTAATCAATTAACCGCCTGCTCACGTCACCTGCATTTGGAAGGAAAGAAAAACCCCCACTGATATCCAGAGCCACGCGCGAATAATTGGGGGCTTTCCTTTTGTCCACGATATCACCGGTGAAGACAGAAACCTAGATGTGTTTTCAGATAAAACCTACGTTTTAACAGACGACCAATTACGTGGGAAAATGTCTATAGACATACACAGGGTGCTTCAAGAATGTTTTAACACTTCTGAGAATTTGCAACGACACCACGAGAGATGCGCTGCCTCCGGGCCCTGGAGACCACCTGGAGAAGATTCCAGGCGCGCGTTGACAACGATGGCTAACAAGTGGGAGAGACTGTTTGACTTTTTGAAGCTATTAACATCACATTTGTTATCATACTCTTTGGGTCTTTCGGTAAAGTCACGTAGATAGAAAAATAACCGACTGCATATCAACAAAGATTCGTTTATGAAGTCATCCAGATATATAAACACAGACAAAATTTCAAAATTTCAACTGAGAAGATGGGTACAAACTGAGAAATCATTGGAAGGACGTTATTAACCAGTTTAAGTCATAACTGGCTGTGATGTTTCCATCCTACCTGCCGATGTTAGCAGTTATTTCCGACTCTCTGAGTTGCATTCCTCGATGTGGCGGTGGCTCCATTGACAAGCTAATCTCTCACGATACAATGACCAGCCCAACAGCTTTGGGGTGTCCTCGATGTTCCCTTTCTAACCCCGCCCACTCGCCCTTGGGCTGCACCCATCTCAGTAGTTCTCTTGCTAAAAAAATTCACCTGATGACGATTGCTTGTGTTGCGATCGAAACGTCGTGATTTTTAATAATTTTTCTACCTACGTGACTTTACCAAAAGACCCGAAGAGTATGAATTCCTGCAGTCACGAAAGCTTTAAGTCAAGATTTGTTCTCATGTTACAGTGTATTATCCGTTTTTTTCATTAGAAACTATAGTCCCATGTAATTGTTAGCATTTTTTTGAGCACCTTGAATATATATATACACACACACAAGGCAGGTGACGATTGTCCATCACATCGATTAAAGTTGATGTGTTCGCTCACGATGCAGGCGTTAAACCTCGTGCATAAGGATAGACGATTAATTCATTATG